AATCGGTACACAAGGGAACGCACAGATTGGGAAAATGGACTATATGGGAACTAATTCAGGACAAAATGGGCGGATTGAGGTCAATAACAGTTCAGTTTGTGGGCCTTGAAAGAATAACTGAAATCAGATTGTAGCCTTTGCCTTCCCGGGATGAAGCCGTACGATTTCATCTATAAAAGCCTACCCGGATATGTGAAGCGGACGTTTGCTACTCGGTTGACCCAAAGCAGAAAGACGCTACGGTTTGACCTTGTGCACGTGTGTAAAGTACGGTTTGAGCGGCTGTGTGGAGCACGAATGTTATACCTAAAATTAGATGCCACCCTCAAATGCAACAATTGCGTCTGACTTTGTGGTTGCAAGATAATTACACAGGTTGAGGGTTTTGCCCAGATGACCAAATCATAAAAGATTTGAAGTCCAGAGTGAATTCATGGTTTATTAAGAAAGAGAGAAAGCACACCCTAACAACAAGGCCAACACGGCGCCTTAGGTGAGGCACTGGGTATGCCAGATGAATTTATCTACTTGAATGATGTAGATCTGAGAGACGGAACTAACCCAGTATAGTTATCAGTTGACCGCAAAAGTTCGAGTGAATTCAACCTGACATGAACGAACTTCTTTTTGAAATCTGAGCAGCAGTTTCATTTTTCGTGAAACGAAAGCAACAACGCACACCAAACAATCGTCATGAGGAGGTCAGAGTCCAAACTAACGACCTGGATGTCAACAACGTTGACAAAAAAGTTAGAAAAGACAAGTCTTCAATTATAATCAGTAAAACTGCATACAACCANTACAATCTGAGATGTGACACATAATCAGCGTTTCTTTAGTTTTTTTCCCAGGGTGAAACCGATGTAGCCATGCCTTGGACCAGAACTTACACGCAATAAACCAGAACAAGGTGGAAATCGCACTCAGACAGACGGTGTCATAACATATATATATATATATATATATATATATATATATATATATAAACTCACATGTGAGTCCCGATTCAACCAAACAAATCACGTTACAACTATCTTCATAAAGTGAAAAAGTTGCATGATTCGTGAATCATGGGGGGTGCCTACACAAGCCGTAAAACGTCCAATTTGGCGTCTGCAGAATT